GACTTCAACGCCAGAGCTCTATCTGTTGTGCCACCTAGCTGCCCCACAAACCTTGTTTTAATACAAGGCCTCTTCTGTGAGATCTGTGGTCATTTGAAAGATGTAAGCTTTTTAAATTCACATACAGAAACAAAATTAGGCCATCACTTTTTATAGACTTGGAGATAAATAATAAGTTGAGTCTGGCAATCCAACTTGATGGCATTTGGGAAACTTAGAGCACTTTGAGTGATCTAAAGCTGCTTGTCAGCCAAAATTCTTTTTGACAGTAGTCTTCTAGTGGTGAGTTTGCAAGTACCTGTGAATCTATTTCAGGTGATCCAAAAGACCATGGAAAAATGCATGGTGCGTACAAGCAGGCTTTATATTGTGTTAACCATGAGAATTTATATTCTAAGTGGCATAAACCAGCACTTCTTAAACTGTGGGTTGTGATCCCACATGGGGTAGTGAAAAGTTTGGCAACAGTAAAAGTTTTGTGAATGCTCAACAACCAAAAATTAATTCAGAATCAAACGCATAATGAATTCCAGGTGTTTCTGGCAATGCTTTCCTGTGTTGTATCATGCAACTTCACTGCAGCCTTGGTTCTGAACACAAAACTGGGCACTTTGCTCTCAGGCCATGCTACATCAAGAAACACTGCTGAAACCAAAAAGGAGTTGCAGAGAAAGTTTAAGAAGCTCCGGTATAAACAATGTCAAGCACATGTGTGACTTATGACTGGAAAAGAGGGGTGAGATTATAATATATTGATGGGTTAGACCAGGGGTGGGGACCCTGTGGCCTTGAGGCTACATGTGACTTTCTAGGACCTTGGATGTGGCCTTTTGACAGAGTCCAAGTTTTAGAGAACAAATCCTTTTATTAAGGGGATTTGTTCTGTGAAATTTGTATTTAGTCAAAGGGCTGCACTTGAGGACCTAGAGGGCCACATGTGGCCTTGAAGCCACAGGTTCCCCACCCCTGGGTTAGACTATTATTTATGTAAAGATCTAAGTCCCTTACACACAGTAGGTATTTAATAAAGTGTTTGAAATGAACTAATGGTGTGCTAACGGACAATACCCTTTTTCCTAACCTCCCCAAGTATTTTCCTGGTTTTCTTATTGACCTATAAGCTCATTATTTCATTTGATTTCAAAATAATGCATTTTTCTGTTTTAATTTCTAGCCAGTTTTTAGAAAAATATAGAGCTTTGCTAATTTTATATTGTAGACTCAAGTATTATGCAAAGCAGTGAAGGAAGAAGCAATTTGAAATGTGAGCAGCATGGTCTATGGCAGGGTATCCTAAAGGACTGTGAGAAATATTTTTGTCTTTTTTCAATAAATCATATAATACTTGCTAAGTTTTTTAAATTAAAAAGTGACTGCAGTAATGGAAGTGTAATAAACTTTAGTTTAAAAGTTTTCAGAAATGTTCAAAGGCTGTGTTCTTTTAGACTTTTTTCTTTCTGTGTTCCTTGCTCTTAAAGGATTTCTTTATATTTGAAGAATTTAGTTCATGTTCCATTATGTCAATGTCAAACTATTGTGAGCAATTCAGTCTTCAGGAGAGCTAATGCCTTTTATTTTGAGGGGAACCCTCAACATTGCCTAGATTCATCGTATTTAGAAACTAATAATTCAGGTAAGCAGCAAGGAGAATGTTGTAAATTTAATTTGATACAAGTGCAGGCTATCATTTAATTATCTCTTCAGTCTTTTCGAACCCATATTCTCTGCCTTATTCACCTCTTCAGATACTCTGTGTTACAGCTATAGTGGATTATAGATGCTATACTGTTCTTTTCATACAGACATTCCATCTCTTCCTAGCCTTCACACAGGCAAGCTACCAGGACAGTGTCTGGAGCATGCTATAAGGTCAGATCAGTTTTCACCTACTCCTTGATATGCTTCCATTCTTTCTCTCCTCAGATCACTGTATTATCAGTTTACTTGTTATCTACACTTCTCAGAATATTAAGTTCTAAAGGGTAGAAGCAATTTCATTTTTGTCATTAGAGTTATACATTAATAGGAGCTTGAAAACTTTTTGTAGAATTGAATAATATACGTCACTTTGCTAATCTCATTAGCTCCTATGGATTACTTAATTGATCATCTCTATGGCAGTGGTTCCCAGCTCTATATTATATAGCCTTAGCTTCTCTCCACTCCATTGCTGTCCCTTTCAGTACTTTCACTCTCATTATTTTCAGAGTAAAGCTAACACTTATTACCCTCTTATTTAATGCCCTCCGAAGTCTGGATCCCAACTTGCTTTTCTGGCATCTTTTTACCATTTCCTTTTTTCACCCAGTCAGATTGTAATATTCCCTGTTTTTATCTCTTTCCACTTTTTATTGCTTTTACTTTTGCCTATGTTATCTCCTTTGCTTAGAATATGCTGACCACTATTTCTGTGAGTCCTCGATGCATCATGGTGTATAATGGATTGAGTACTAGACTTGAATAAACTATTATATAGCAGACTTTGATTCCAGTGGGATTTAGGTAGGATTTAAGGATCAATCAAAAATACTTTTAACCTACTTTGGCTTGGTGGAAAACCACAAAATTTCCAGGAGAAAATGCAGGTAAATATACTTTTTTAAAAACACAGATTTGTGAGAATATTTCCATAGTATGTAAAGTGATTTTTTCCCCTCATAATTGATTTAAAACTAATTTTTTGTTAGAAATGCTATTAAAAATGTTTAGTATTCTTAGTTTCTTAAATATTTGGTTTTAATTAGTCTTTGATTCTCATTTCTTTTTATTTTCTTATGTATATATTTGTGCATATTAGATGGTCCCAGTGGCCCGGTCCAGACAAAGAATTTTTAGATCTAAATTTTCAAACTGTGAAAATAATTTTGGTCACCTTGAGTCATCATCTGAGGAAGAAAATGAGTCTCTTAGTTTTATAAGACAAGTAAGTAATGGAATATTGAAATGTGTAAATTAATTTTGAATAATGTTCATTTATTTTTACTTTGGGCCAGCCAAATATTTGGCACCAAATTTACAAATCCAAAAGAAATAAGAATATTTTGAATTCAATCATTATTAGTTTTCCATAGTTGGTTGACTTTGAAGAACAAAAACAAGTGTTATATGCATACACACACATATATAAAAATATGTAAATATTATGCATATTACTGACAGTTTTAAAGCTGCATGGTTAAATTATATAATTTTTTAAATTTTAGTAATTTTTTTGATCATTTGACATTGCTGGAGAAATGAGGTGAAATTTTCTGTTTTACTGTCACCAAAACTTTTGTAAGCATTTTCTTAGAATCTCTTTAAATTTATTATACTTTTCCTCCCTTTAAACAGCATATTCTGAACATATACTGAAAAGAATTTAGTGACTTGTTGATTAATCTAGTACATTATAAATATTTGTTTTGTGTCTTTACTTGGACCTTTACTACTCTTCTACTTATATCATTTCTTTTCTGATTCCTCATGGTGATTTTTTTTCTTTAAGAAAATAATACAGAGTATTCCAAAAGTCTTAAGGCAGTTTTAAACTATAAAGCTCTTAAAGCCTAAAACTTCACTAAGCACTCTATTTATTAATTCCTTTTCTTAATGTCATGATCATTTGAAGTTTGAATTTCCCTTGCCACGAAGAAATAACTAAAATAGCTGGTGCAGGGATTTTGTCTAACAGTGTATGCAACTTTCCGTGCCTATAGTCCTTCCATATCTCTTTGGAGATAAGAGAAAATGTTTAATTATCTCCCTATTTCAAGATTGAAATTGGTTATTAGGATTCTCAATCTTTGGATTCTTGTTAGTGTTCTTTGCTGTGCCATAATTTTGGATAATTTGGATATATTGTTCTTTTGGTTCTTCTTTGTTGTACAGTAGTTCACAGAAATCTTCCCTTTTTTCTCTGAATCATCTGTATTTAATTTTTTAGTACATAATAATGATCTTTTATGTCCATATAATACAGTTTGTTTTGTTCAGCCATTCCATCAGTGAACATTTCACACTTTGTTTCCACTGCTTTGCCATCACCAAAAACAACAACAAAATGCTGCTATGAATATTTTAATACATATGAAGCTTTCTTTTCGTCTCCTTGCACGTAGAGTCTTGGGGTATTTGGAGTCAAGAGTATTAATGTTTTTAGTCAATTGATATATTCAGGGTTTTTTTTTAATCTTAATATGTATTTATATAACACCTTAAGATTTGCAGAATGCTTCATATATGTCTCATTTAATTCTTAGAACAGCCCTGTGCTATTATAAGCTCATTTCAAAGATAAGGAAACTATAGACCAAGAGATTAAGTGACTTGTCCAAGGTAACAGAGTTGGTAAATGTCTGAGGCTGGATTTGAACTTGGGTTTTCTTGGATCCAAGTTCATCACACTCTCCACTCTACCAAATTGCCCTTACAGTTGGGAATTTCTCATAATTGTTTTAGCTTCCATTTTTCATTTGTATTTTGGAGCATGTTTTGATATGTTTTTTTATAGTTAAACATTCTTTTTAAAAGCTCTTCATGTCCTTTGACCATAGTATCATAGATTTAAAGCTGGAAAGGACTTGAATGATCATTGACTCCAACAACTCTAATTTTGCCGATGATGAAACTCAAATCTAGACAGGTGAAGTCATTTGCCTGTGTAAGGTAGAAAGTAAGTTGCAGAGGAAGATATAAACTTAGGTTCTCCGACTCCAGATCCAGAGTGCTTTCATAACCACTCACTGTTTGGGAAGTAGCTTTTCATCTATTTTCTCTTTGATGTTCTCTCTCTCTCTCTCTTTCTCTTCCCCTCCCACCCTCTGTCTCTCTCTTTCTCATTAGTTTGAGGATTCTTCTGTCTGCTGTAGTCATGAGATGCACTTCTTGACACTGTTCATTTTTTTCTCATGTGATCTTTTACATTCAGGTTGTATAGCCATTTGCATTTTATTGTGCTGTATGATGCAAAATATTTATTTAAATCTGTTTTCTACCAAAGTGCTTTCTGATTTTCCCAGTGCTAATTGTCAACTAGGAATTCACCCACTAATTTATGTTCTTAAACACATTATCAGACACTGAACTATGGGTTTTTAAATTGCTCTTGGTTTTTGCTTATATAGTCTCTTTCAGTGTAATACTTTTAAAATTTTTTTGGCAAGGCAGTTGGGGTTCAGTGACACTTGCCCAGGGTCACACAGCTAATCAGTGTCAAGTGTCAGAGGCCAGATTTGAACCAATCAGGTCCTCCTGACTCCAGGACTGGTGCTGTATCCACTGTACCACCTGGTTGCCCTACTTTTTAATTTTTTAAAACTATTATCAATTGATCAGTAAATATTTACTGTGTGCATACTGTCTATCAATCATTTGTGCCAAGTGCTGAGGATAAAGAAATAAAAATGAAAATCCCTGCCTTTGATATGTTTTATAACATTACAGAATGATTATTTTAGAATTGGAATGAACTTTCTCAGCCATTTACCTAAAATGAAGTACTACTATAAACTTTAAAATGTCCCAAAAGTGGACATTCATCTGCTTGAAGACCTCTAATAAAGGGGAAATTACCACCTCCCGATATAATCCTTTTCACTTAGGAAATTAGGACGTTTTCCCTGATTAATAGCCTAAATAATAACCCAGAATATCAAGGCTTTCCTTGAACTCTTTTGCCTTGTTTTATAGGAGAAAAAACAACTTTTCCTTTGTAACATAAATACTTTTCTTTGAGAAACATGTAAGTGTTACGCACTCACTATAAATCTCTACAAAATTTGTCCTTGTTTCCATCCTATGAGATATTCACCTTGACTTTTTGTACAACTTTAGTTGTTTATGCCTCACTCTAAGCAACTTAACAGCTACACCCCATTTCCTTTCCTTAGTTTAAAGCCCATATTCCCTCTTACTAGACTACTTTGGCGTTTTACCCACCAGTTTGTTTCATTTAGGCAGCTAGGTGGTGCAATGGATAGGGCACTGGGCTTAGAATCAGGAAGACTCACCTTCATGAGTTCAGATCTGACTTCAGACACTTAGCTGTGACTCTGGGCGAGTCACTTAACCCTGTTTGCATTAGTTCCTCATCTGTAAAATAAACTGGAGAAGATAATGGCAAACTATTCCAGTATCTTCCCCCCCCCCCAAAAAAAACCCACATGGGGTCACAATGAGTCATGACTCAACAACAGAAACAATTATTTCATTTAATCTTTTCTTATTTGCCTTGCCAACTAATTTTTTTTCTTTTCCTTCTTTCAGTCTTATTTTTATTTCCTTCCTCCTTAAACTTGTTCGTTCTCTTCCAGCTCTTTCTCATAGAACCCAGAAGTAGAATCTGGACTTGAATATTATTTTACAAATTTTCCTCAGTTTTCTCATATTTCTTTTCCCCACTTTGATTAGAGAATTCATTTTAGTCTCTGGCCTTATGTATGTATCCAAAACTATCCCAAGTAATTTACACAATTTCTTTCTCCTTATTTAGCTCAATTCCTTCTTTTTCCTCTTGCTCTTTGTATAATAGTTGGGAGTAGAGAAAATCTTGCTACTTTACTATATAAGACATTTTCTGTCTACAAGAAATTTAAAATTTATGCTGAAGAACAATGTACAAGTGTAGGTAAATACAAAAGATGTACAAATGCTTCTAAACTTATTTTTTTAGGCATTCTTCCATTAAAGAATAAAATTATTGGTGTATTTTGTATTCTGCATCCCCCATTTTTTGAATTAGGACACTTCAACTCCAGATCAAAGTGAAGATTCAAGCAGTTCTGAAGAAGAAGAGGAGGAAGAAGAGGAGGAAGAAGAATGGAAAAGTGAAGAGAAAAGTGACAGTGACAGTGACAATTCCAGGTACTTCAGAGAATCACAGTCTGAAAGCTTGGGGGCTATCTAGCTTAGTCCAGGGCTTCTTAAACATTTTCCACTTGTGACCCCTTTTCAAGTGTACGTGCTTTGTGGTCAGAACCAGAACTGCAGTGAAGTTGTGGTGTTGCCAGAAGCACCTCCAATTCATTACCCATTTGAGTTTTGATTAATTTTTTATTTTTGTGTATTTGGAAACCTTTTACTGTTGCCAAATTTTTCATAACTCCGTATGAGGTCATGACCCACAGTTTCAGAAGCACTAGTCTAGTCTACACATAAATAGGAACCCCTTATGCCACTTATCATCAACTGAGTATTCAATCTTTACGTTAAGAATAGATGAATGAAAATGGAATAGGAGTAGGGGAAGGGAATAAGGATTTATATAGCACCTATGCTAAGTGCTTTTTACATCATTATATCATTTGGTTATCACAACCCTGCAAGGTATTGCTGTAATCCTTATTTCATAGTTGAAGAAACTGAGGCAAATGAAGGTTAAATGACTTGCTCAGAGTGATGCAGGTAGTAAGTATCTTGAGTCAAATTGGACTCAGATCTTCCTGCCTCCAGGTATAGTACCACCAGCTGTCTCAGGAAAATCGTGTATAAAATGCTTACCAAGTTTCAGTCATTGTGCTGAGCACTGGGGATGCCAAAACAAAATAAGACAGTCCCTGCCCTCAAGAAGTTTACATTCTTTATTAAAGGAAATAATCATTTAAGATCAGGGAAGTGTGTTTTGCTTTGAAAAGTCAAAGAGATGGTGAGTAGAAATATAGGAAAGTCAGTTGACACACCCCTTCCAGAAACAATGTTAGTATTGATTTGATAACTATTTGTAGACATAGAAAGTAAGTATGGGGATATAGAAATGTGAGTAACTATACATGAATGATCAGATAGGAAGTTAAGTATGGTTTGTGGTATGGAGTTGGCTAGCTAAGGTAGGTCACGTATGTTGGCTCATTTGATAGGACAGACTTTCAGGGTCCGTTCCACTTCTGGACAGCTCTCGTTGTTAATGACCTTTTTCCTTACATTAGGCTGGAACCAGCTTTTCTGCAGCTTCTATCTGTTGTTGTTTTATGTTCTTAGGTGAAGTAGAATAAGGGAGGCAATACTAAATTTGAAATCAAGATCTAGGTTTGAATTCCAACTCTATAATTTATTAGCTTTGTAATCTTAGGCAAATCACTTAACTTTTTTAGGCCTTAATTTTCTCACCTGTACAGTGAGTGTGTTGGAATACATGATCTTTAAGGTCTTTTCTAGTTCTAAGTCAGTGATCTTAGAAATCTTTTTTTTTTTTTTTAACGTGATTGCCCTTCTCATACTTGAACTAAT